TAAAGTATTATTAAATTTGATTCAATAGTATAGGAGGAATTGCGGATAAAGGATATGGGTACTCCAATATTATAGAAAGAATGACAGTGTCCATGTTTTGCTACGGGAAACCCGAAATACCACATGTATGTGACTGATCAAAAAGTAAAATTAGAGGTCACAATAGTATTATGTAAGAAAGATTCTGTGAGAGCCTCATTAAAATTCATTCAGTGGTATAAGAGGTGTTATGGATACTGTAAGAGATGTGTACTCCAAAGCGTAGCAAACGGACGCACAGCTAGACAGACGGACGGACCGACGGATTGATACCCCTCCCACTTTTCAAGCTGGGGTATTGTCCTCTACAAAAATTTGAATTTTTCAATTAAAATTTGTATATGACAATTAGCACATCTTTATTTAAAAATGATTACACCAATTTTGTATCGACACTTTACGTCGTTTTATATACACCGTAATTATATGAAATAAGCAATTAGGAAACGTGAACGGCTTATTGCTCGCTTGAAAAACTCTGTTTGAGTTCCCTTCTCTTTAAAAAACACACTGATCATGCTTCCCTACGTTTCTACCCATTAAATTTTTCAGCCACATTTGCGTTCCTTTCAGTTTTGAGTCTTATTAAGCAGATTCAAGACAAACTCCGACCAGCGTTTAAACTTTTAATATGGAACTGACAAATTTTGATACAGGTCTTTGTGCTCCACGGCTGTCCGATTTAAAATGTTATTCAAATCAAATTCAATAGCATATGTAACAATTAGAATGTGACATGTGTAAAATAACATTTGGAGATAAATAGATAAAAACTTTTTTGACACTTGAGTAAAACCTTAAAATAATTGAGGGCCAGATTATCGTCCTTTTTTATGTTATATTTATTACACCTAAAGATAATTTAGCAATATCAAACGTCATGAACAGGTGTTAAAAACCAATTAGATTGGATTACCGTATAGAAATCTCCGGTGATATAATATATCATATAAAGATCAAGAGATGTAAATTAAACAAAGAAAATAATTTGAAAAGCTCTAAAATTTAGAAAGAATTGTTTTAAAAACATGAAACATAAGCTTAATTTCAGAAACTAGAAAAATCTTTTAGAGCAATAAAATTTCATCGTGATAGTATGATAAAATGTCTTTGAGTTTGTATTGAGATAAATCGTTACAATTAACCATTGCAATTTTTTTAATCGGCAGGTTGCAACTATTCTTTATGTAAAAAATACAATGAACGAATTTTTTTGTATAAAAAGATATTTTATGTCGTTTTATAGACACCGTAATTATATGAAATAAGCAATTAGGATATGAAAATATATATGGGGTGGGCCATTTCATGGTCTTCTCTTCAAAAACCATAAAATTATATATACTTAAGAAGTCATCTTCTCTTTAAAAAACACACTGATCATGTGTTATTATTATAGCAATTCTTCCAATACATTAAATTTTTCTAACATTTCACATTATTACAGCATTTTTTTATTTTTAGGTTTAGGGGGAATGAAAAAGTAATGGGGAATTAAAAAAAAAATAAAATTATATTTTGATAGTGATGTCTAGACGGCCGTACACATGGGTTACAAAGGGGGAAAATACAACCTTTAATTGTTTATTTCATCATCTACCAGTTGGGGGTAGTGATATTGATATTGGACAAAATACAGATTTTAAAAAAAAAATCAATTTTTAAAATCTCTTTCAATATATCTTCATTTTTGTTTTTAATGTGTGTTAGCATTTAAAATGTTAAAAAGAATTAAAAAAAAGTTATAATTCCTTTCATAAAACAGACAGGGAGTATTCCCAAGGAGCTTGAGGAGTAGGGTGGAATTTTTTTCAATTAATATAAATTAATTTTTCTGATAATCTACATGTTATATATTTTATTTCTTTTTTATAATAGTTGAAATATTTGTATATTCTAGTTTTATAATAGTTGAAATATTTTATTTCTTTAGGTTATTGTTTATTTTTTAAATGGACAAATTATATTTATTACACCTATTCATCATGTGTACAATGATGTTAAAAAGTTATGAAAAAACCTAAATAATCGCTCCACAAAAAATACCATGGGCACTTTACATTAAAAATAATCTACAATTAAAGACGTATTTTGTGGAAATAATTATCTCACCAACATGTCACTTTGCAACAAAGTCGTTAACATTTTATTGTTCTCTGGAACGGGTGAAACGTTTTGAATGGCAAACTTATGATAAATATATATATTAAACCAAAAAGTGTATATTTCACAAATCTCTTTTACCCGCCATGTTCAAAAACCAGCAAAATTATATATACTTCAAAATTGAATTTTTGTACCGATCAAATTTGACATAAAGCAAAAATCTGTTTTTCTCAATTTTATTTTTTTTCTGAAAATTCAAAAACCTGAGCGGCGGGTTTGTAAACCTAAAAATAAAAAAATGCTGGCCTAGAGTAAAAAAAAAACTAAAAATACATAAATTCTTGAAAAATCCTTCCCTTATATTTACCAAACAAACTAAGTCCATTGTAATGTTTAGCAGGGGTTTCTCCTCCAAAAATGTGACATTCATCATCCATAGGTTAGGGGTTTTCATCCTAAGTTTATATTCATATCTATCATATTTTGAATATGCAAAAGTTTTTTTTTCAAAAATCTTTATCTCTGCACCTGGGCATCTGGAAAATTACTTAAACTTATTGCACATCATATGATTGTTTGGAAATTTTGTTCTTTCTGTCTAGTGAGTCTCTTAATTTTTTTTATTTTTAATTCTTTGAAGGATTTGGGCTGAAATGAAATTCTCAGATTCAATGTGAAATAATTTTTGACTATTTCATAAAAATGTAGGACATATGACAAGAAATTGTATCGAATAGAGGGGAGAAAAAGCAAAATATCCGGGTTTTTTTAATTTTAAGAAAGGGTTGGTATAAATATAGTAATAATTTACCAACTAGTTTCTGCATTGATATCTCATGGACTTGTATTGACGTCATGAATACCACCAGTATTTCAAGCAAAATGAAACTCTTAATTCTTTTTTCTTGACCATGCAGTTGACTACTGTCATGCACTAAATTAAAATGAAAAAATATCACATACTTAGTATTAAGTGTTTGAATTGAACCCACAAAAGCAAAAAGTTTTACTCAGCGGTATTCTTCTTAAATCAAGAGAACTGGTGGTGTAAATCTCTGTAAACCACCTTTCCCAGTATATTATATGTACCAAAACGGCGACAAGGACTTGTAGTTATTCATCAATGAATGAACTATTTTTGTAACCATAGTGTTTTCGTATATTTCTTAACATTTAAAATACATGTATATACTTTGAAATCATTTTTTGTGCTTCAATTAAAAAAAAAACTTTTAAATAAATGCGATTGATTTTTTTTTTCAAACAAATTAACCTCTGCAGCTTACTGTTGAATTCTAGACGAAACCCAGACACGGCTAGATAGTCTTTTCGCACAAAAAAATAAACAAAGGTTATTAATCTGAAGAAAAAAAAGCTGTACAAAAATGTCAAATACGCATATTCCACAGACTTAATGATCGAGATATTCTTGATTTGATTTGAACTTTTGACTCCTTTGGTTCAAATGCTTCCGCGAACACTACCAGGTTGCTGGTACATGTATGGCATTAAGACAAGAGTTAATGTTCCTAGTACAGATAAAACTTCGTTAAGGCCTCAGTTACCCGCCATAGCGTCAATCAATCCTTCCTGTGAGGTTTAAAACGTTCTGAATTTTATCAGATTTGAACACAATGGCCAGGAAGTTCTGTGTAACAAAAACTCCATTTTCCTCTTCTTTACACATTGTGTGATCAATTTTTCGAATAATCGGAATTTTTTTTGCAATTGAAATAGCAAGGGCTGTAATTTTCTAAATTAAGTGGTAAAGTTTGTTTCAAATATTTCACAAGAACAAAATGCGCAGCAATGCATGTGAAGATGAGGAACTACATAATTTGTTTCTACTGCAGGCATTACTAGATTACATTACATAACATTCAAAAAAGTACGGGAGAAAGTTAGCCCTTGATGAGCCTTAATTGACAAGATGGGTCTGGCGTTCTGCAGTAACCTCCATGGTTCGTGGGAACTCAGATCCATGGATTGTCAGCAGGCTACTTTTACAATTGCTCTGCCACTCACGAGTTAAAACAGAAGGTATTTTATTTTTTCCTTCATTTTTTATGAAACTCAAGCGCTGTTTCATGCACCAAAAAAATTGTACCACAACCCTTGTTTCAGACGGAGTAAGCTCCGCTTTATTGGGGATCAACTAAGGTTCCAATCATTAGCAAGGTCACTAACCTATCAGGTGCAAGGTTACATCTCAGATGATATTTTCAACCAATTGCAAAATGGCTTTTAACAGTCTTTATATGGTGATATCGAACCTTTTATTCCGCTCTTCCATTAATTACAGATAGTACTTCCATTCTGTTCCTTTTCAATTTTACTTTTTGGTGTAAGAAAAAACACTTGACACTTTTTTGTATACATGGTATTTAGATATCGATAACTTGATTATCGTTGGTCAGATTCTTGTTTCAAATGCTCTTAATCACAAAATAATTGGAATTCCCCTCTTTCCTGAAGATGTATAAAATTAAATATTTGAATCATTTTAAACTTTTAAAAAATTTAATTATCGCAAGCATGTAAATGAAATAGTTCTGCAATTCAAACGGTTTATAAATTGAAAACGGATTAGGGAAATTCCATTCGTCATTATTCTATAATTATCGGAAATATTTATAACAAGATCTGTTTTATCAGCTTAAAGAGTTGAGAAAACACAATGTGTCCTTATTTTGACCCAGTACCTCCGACTCGAGGAGATATGAACTATAATGCAGATATGACACTTCATGTAATCACACGGTGTATACTTCTATATTGTACAGTAGCTTTACACTTACGGTGAAACATAACAAGGACATGATATTTAAATTACAGCATTAAAATAAAAACTTTATTTGTTGTAGTGAATTTGGATTACTTTAAAGTTCCTGTGACATAGCTTACACACAAGGGAATTGTGAATGAGTGACAGTTGCTACTATTTTAGCCCCGTCAAATCAAATGGAGCGATCAGTTCGGCCTATCGTACGCGTGTGAACGGGTGATCCATTCGGGAAATTTAATTTTAGGACTTGGGATAATGTTCCACCTCATTGATTGTTTAGTTTGACAACTTTATTTTTTAAATCTTGAATTTATTTATTGACTGGAATTTGATTCAAGACAACTATATAATAATAATGAAGCTTTGGGTTATTACGTTATTGATCATTTCTGTCACACAGGTAAGGAAATAATTTTTACTTCAAATGAATCTATATCTACCCTTAAAAGGCAGGAAACTGTATCTTTTAATGATTTATTTATTTTTTTTTCTTTGATTATTTATTTTAATTGCTTGTGATTTGATTTAGTATTAGTATCATGCTGTCGTATTGTATAGCAATATTGTAAAGTTTTCATTTAATATTATATCACTTTAACTGTTACCTAAAATGTGTGGAATTTAGACAGCTATGGAACTTGTAGAAGAACACGTTTCTGACTTTTAGACAGTTTTGGAAAACTTAATTCATGTAATGGTAATTTTGAAAGAGAAGGAAAAATACTTTTAAAACTTATAAATATGGATATAAAGGAAAACTTCCGCGTTACTTCGGAAAGTTAATTAACCAATACTTGACTTTGATCATTTAGATCTGCTTTTACTTGCTAATGGTTTAAGATCTTGACATAATGGTGCCACTAGAGTCGATTCATCTTTGACCCATGTCAAGAAATTTCTCTTAAAGAAAAAATGATATTGCGTTTTTATATCGGTGACATTTGATGTATCTCGATGCTGACTTTGAAAAACATTTCCGGGTTCTTCGAGGTGATTTGAGCATAATAGTAGATTGTGGTGGCTCTAAGGTGATCAACGCTATATATTTTCTAACGTGTCGGTCATGTAAGGAGATAATTTATTCTTAATTTATGATAACGAACGTAGAGCTATAACACTTTTGTCTCTGTTATAAATACTGTTAATGTTTACCTGTCACAAATTCTCTGATATGTCTTTGTACTACGCTAATTTCGCGACAATTGTAACAGGAATGGGTCAAACTAGTGCTGTCAAAGGATGCCACCATTTTTTCCATTTTTCCCCTAATCCAAAGGTTTTATCTTTGTTACCTAACAAATAATAACGTCTGCTTACTGAGAACTCATTTATAATTAATAGCGACCTTCTTGTTATTTAATCGACCCGATATATGTCCTTGTTCGAATAATATCTATACTTTTATTTGGGTTATCTGCTTCATTTGTTATCCTGATAATTGAAGAATACATCTTGCTATGACGGGATTTATGGAGAAAAGAGCGACATTTCTACGGATACGAGTCTTGGACAGTTCCGTATTAATTTGATTTTATGACTATATTTTCTTCTGCAACAACAGTAAATTTGATAGTGACATATTCCGAACTCTATTTATTAACACAAGATATGCGATTTTTGCAAGTATTTTCAAATCTGGTTTTCAATAATTTCTAAGATTTTAATGATCAATTTTATTTATGTTATCTCACTTATGCAGTTTCGGGTCTGTTTAGAATATCGACCGTTTCAAACCTTGTCAATAACTAGTTTTTCATTTAAAAGTAGTTCCAATATTAATTAAATAAATCTTGATGAATCTTAAAAGTTAATTAAAAAAATATGTTTTAAGGTTATCTCACATAATTATATTAGATTTCAGTGCATGAACTGATGGAAGCTCACGATACCTGCATATGCACCGTGCCATCGTATGATCTTATAAATGTTCCGCTTCCATATGCTAAACGTTATGTACTCGCATGACCTTCAATAAGCCTGCCATTGAGGACATTGAGAGCTAAATTGCTTTGAGCTTTCTGATGATAAAAAAGCTGCAGACTTTCACTCATTTTATCATAAAAACTAGGAACTATATCACACAATTAGCTTTAGAACTTGTTTTTTAAAAAGGCACGTGTTCCCTTCGATTTCATGATGCAATGTCCGGTTTAACTGTATGTCCCGTGGATTGCCTTGAATTTGTTAATTCCATACATAGTGCACCTGAATCCATGCTTTAGTATTTTTTATTACTTTGATTAAGTTCTTTAAAACACCTTTTTATATGAATTAGGCTATTATTTTTTAATTAAAAATATGTAAATGCATTTGCAGTTTTTTGAAAAATGGGATTCACAGGTCAAGATCTGTAGCATAAAGTTAATCATCGAAATAACATCAAACCTTCATTTTCTTTTTCGTTGTTTGCCCTTCAGCTAAGTCATTCAATCAGTCAGAATAAGGTACTGATATAGGCGATTTGGATTTTTAGGCATTGGAATGAGCACTGCAAAATTGCCAAAAGGCGAGATCTAAAAAAGACCAAAATAAGATATATTCACGATTTACGATATTAGTGGTCAAATATCATAATGCTTCAGCTGAGATTTTTACATATAAGTCAACACAAACTGTACCGATTTAATGTCTTTTTATTGAACTTTTTTCCTTGGGTTGGTCTGCACATTGTGGTGACTCACTGCCTTTGATAAATATATACCTTTGCCGTTTTTCGTCTCGTTTCCTTGCGGTAAATTACCAACACCTCCAGTTGTAACCTGGCAGTTATGCAATTTTCATTTTACCTGTAGACAGCCCAGTAAAACAGATGGGACAAACTTTTCTGCGTCTTGATAAGTCATGTCTACGCTTTCCTACCAAGGGACTATTTTTTGTGCAGATTCCGTTACTGTTGTGCACCAGATATAAGCGGAAGCTTTGAACTATGCAACCTTATTGAAGAAAATCGTCCCTAAATTTACACCAAATACTTCGAAACCTTTGGTGTTGCAAAGCGCTATATTTATAACTTAAGAGGAACAAATGAGACAAATAAATGTCTTTTTGTCAAATTATAGTTTATGATGTCCTAAAATAGGAAAGTTACTGTCTCATTGCGCCAACTGAATTACAATGTAATTATTTATGCATGCCCTAATTTAGAGCACATAAGACTACGCCTCTTACCTATTCTCAAGACTATTTCAATTTTTTGGTATCATGATGCTAAAAACGCTTAAATATATTTACAGGTCCTGAAAAATGTAAATGTCCTTGTTATTACGTACATTTGAGGTAACCCGTCGTTATGTATGATGACTTAGCATTATCTGCTGATAAACCCGGGGTGCTGAACATGCACGAATTTGCCATGTTGACATTTCACGCACTTCAGATCACAGCAAGGGTGATAGTAATGGGGTATAGTGTAGAAATGAGGGGGGTCAACGTCTGGACTATAGGGTCACTGTGGATTACTCTGAGTACATTTGCAGTCTCGTGTACTATTATATCAAATGGTCTGTCAAAGTGCTTAAGTATTGCATTGTAATATTAAAAAAGTAACGAATAGACATAATGAAATGTAGAGATAACAAAAAGTAAGCAAACTCAAAAGTCAATTGGTCCCCCGCGTGTCGCAGTGATTAGAGAGTTTGCTTTCAAGTTGCAGTGCAAGGATCTTCGCTAGCCAAGTGTCCGATTCGTTTCCCTCATCTCAAGGGGGGGATGAGGGACACTTGGCTAGCGAAGATGCAGTGCAAGGAGTTGATCCATACGTCGGAGGTTCGATACCCACTGCGGGACGCGAAGACCGATGCTTCGGATGAGACTGTATGAACCGAGGCCCGTGTTGCAGTAGGTGCTGGCACGAAAAAGATACCTCATTGCTCATGCAGTTGCCCCGAGTGCCGAGTATAGTTATAAATTTGCAGCCCTCCACCGACAAGTAGTGGCGTCTCCATATGAGTTAAAAAATCTTGAGATCGAGGAACATACAACAAACAGAAAAAATATGATACAAGGAACATAATTTTTACTAATAATGTCAATCTGGAATAAATATGTAGTGTGGTTTTCGGAAGAATATTCGAGAAAGAAAGAGAGGAGCAATTTAAGGAAGTGGTCTGATGTTCTGAATCACAATCAGGTTATGACCTTAGGTTAGAGGCTAATTTGGAGTATTTTAGCCAGTCTAAGACACGTCATGTCCTGTACGTTACGTTCTTTGGTGACAGATTGATATATGAACTGTTAAAGCTGACAGTCTTGACAGACTCATGTCGTAACGATAATGAAGATGTGGCCGATCAAAGTCTGGGGCGCTGATCTGAAAATCAGGTCAAATGTCAAGGTCGCCTGCTGTCAGGACTCACTTTGTTCCCTTTTGGGGGTTCACGGCTGAATTAACATATATTTAGTACGGAATATATGCTAAGTGGAAATTCGCTTGCCTAAACATAACTCAAGTGTTCTTTGTATATTGTCAGTTCAATGAAAAACGAAGTCTTTAGCATTGTCATGCACTCACTTTGACTGTTGGGATAACATATATTTGTTTATTGATAATCAACAGAGAAAACAATGAATCTACCTTGCAGAGCAAACAGTAATCAGTGCATACTTTGGTACATTGCACCTATACCTATGATCAAGAGCCCCATAAATTTTTGTATAATTAGCGTACTTGAAAAGGCTCTTTTATACCGGCCTAGTTTTCTTGAATGATTCATAACCTAAAAAGAATATTGTCCATGAATTCATACAAAATCCCAGTTGAGTTTTCGTTTTGTGACCCACATTCTACTGTATTCAACAGAAATCCCCATTGTCCTCTCCGGGACAGTTAGGTTGAATGAGGATTATCTACCAACGTGATCAAACCGTCAAAATGTCGAGTGAACTTTTAAGACTCCTCCACATGACAAAACTACATGTACCATCTTTTCCCTCCAATTGCTGCCCAAACATGTTTTATTTCAATGCGTAGGATTGCCTAAATCCTCTTATTCTTATAGCCAGCTAGAGTCCTCATCTGCATTGCTACCAGAAATAGTTCCTTGTTGTAAGGTTAATACGCCAGGAAAAGTCGTACATGCTGACCACCTATGATGATTTGTGATATTAGCATTTCGTATAATCCTATTTAGTGATCTTTGGGGATGGTACAGGGGGAAAACGGTATAAGTGGTTCTTTCGAAATGCTAAAACATGAGATTTTTTTGTTTGCTTGAAAAAGGACGTGGGAGGGTATTTTTTTTATTTGAATTGCACAATTTGTTAAAAAAATTTATAGCATCTCACTTTTTATTGAACAGAATCAGCATCAGAGGCGTAGTCACAAACTTAAAAGTGGGGGGGCTTAACTCCAGAAATTCTTTGACAAGCAAAAAAAAAAAAAAACAAACTTAAAAGTGGGGG